AGCCTCAAAACAGCCCTCAAAAAGGACAGGGAAGGTGCCCCCCACCCTCCAGGGCCTTTATTTTTCCTTTCATTATTGCCTTTAAGCTCTGGTTCTGCACTATCCTTCCAGGATCCTTGGTTAAGAATTACGTGACTCTTGTCTCTCCACACAAATTACACTTTTCTTTGGATCACAGTACTCTTTAAAATGTCTGTATCACAGAAGGACAGGCTGGATGGAGCTTTGAGCAACACTGTGTAGAGGAAGGTGTCCCTGCCAATGCAGGAGGGTTGGAACTAGGTGACCTTTGAAGTCCCTTCCAGCCCAAATCATTCAAGGATTCTGAGATTATAATATCAAATTGTGTCACTTGGCCGTTTATCATTTTGGGCTTCTTTAATCACCAAGAGCAGTAAATCTATTAAACTGTTTTGGTTTTTTTTTAGAGTTAAATAATGTGGCACAAATGAGTTATGTGGCATTAATTATGTCTGTAATAAACAAAGAAGGTGGAAGTTTTTATTATTAATCTTTATAGTTGAGGTTTGAGTCCAGATTAAATGTGCATTCTTAAGCATGACACTTCTTAATTTTCACTATTTGATTTCCAAGCTCAGAAATGGCTTCTGTAGGTTCCTATGCAGAGTTGAAACAAAACACAACAAACTGGAAAATGCATTCGGGCTGTGTTGAATTCTGCAGGTTCTGGATGTGTTTCTTCATCAGGTCTGTGATCTACCATGAAGATTTCTCATTCAGCTGTTGGAGAGCCTGATAGCAGAGGGGTTTGTCATCTTCTGCACAGACCAATCCTAGGCTGGATCTTTTGCCTGGAGTTTGATTTCCCTCGGCAGTTTGCTCGCAGCAGAGAGAAGGTGACATTTTCTGTCCCAAGCTCCTGAGCAGAGCATCACCAGGGACTTGTGAATCCTCTCTTCTGTCACTGCCATCAGCTTGTCTTTTGGAATAAAGCATTCCTGTCTCACCCAAATCTTTTCCTTATCTCTGGCACCTTATCCAGGTCCCCATGGCTGTTAAATCCTGCTTAGTCTAGCAATGCTGAAGGAGCAGGATTTAGTTAAAAAGATGGGGTTTTACCATAAGCTGTGGATTTTCATGGATCTGTTGTACCTGTTACAGTGTTCACAGAGGTCAGGCTGCAGCCCTTGATCCAAATGCTTCCAAAAGCAAGGTGCTCTGCTTTCTTTTTAATATTGAAAACCAATAGATTGTATACTAACATTTTTCACCTTTTTAAAAACCTTAAACATTTTTTCTGAAATTTTCCCTGCAGAAATGAGTTTGAGATCATCAAATGCAAGTAATGTTCATGTGAATGGTTAAAGTTTGGCAAAGCTCTCAGGCAAATATTGTGATTCTTAGGTCCTGGGCAGGGCGAAGAGTTGGACTTGATGATCCCTGTCAGTCCCTTCCAACTCAGGATATTCAGTGACTCTGCAGAAGTTATAAGCACACTGAAAAAGCACTTGTCAGCAGCCATAAGATATGTAATGCTTTAATTAAGCAATGCCACTGTCCCTCCTTCCCTGTGGTGGTACATGCAGCCAGTGCACATCTAGAGGAAGCAGTATAGAAGTAAGTCTGAGTTTATCTTCTTTCACAATTCTTCAGCAAGCTGTTGCTGGTTCATGTGCCCTATTTGGTCCAGAACCAAGCAGAATTATCTGCTGTGTAGCCTGGTGGAGACAGGCTGAGTCTTGACATCAGAGATGTGTGAGCACTGGGCAGTTGGCAAGAATGTTGGCAGTAATGTCCCCAGCAGACAAGTTTTGCACAAAGAAGTCCTGTGGAAACTTCTCGTTCATTCCTTGCCAGTTTTTGTCCTCATCAAAAAGTGAGTGCAGACGGATCCTTTTAGGGTTTAAGGATTCATGAGGGTATCTCTGCTGGAGCAGAATGGAATCTGGGAGAAAGGCACATTTAGAGAATTAGGTATACAGTTGTATATTGGTTTAGAAAAAGTAGCTTAGGAAGGAAATTTCTATAAATTAAGATAAAATGGAAGCATTTAATTTTTAATGAACTCTTTAAATAGTTATTATTCGATGAGTAGTCTCAGATCATTAAATTCCATCAGTAATTCATTATTTCACTTATTAACTATGTTATGATTGTTTCTTCTGCTGCTGTGGAGACTGATTTTCATACATAAAGGCATAAAGGTGGAATGCTGAAAATTGCTGTGTAAACTTATCTCCTTAAATATGATTTGAAACATAAGTTAAGATGTGAAGTTCCCTAAAAAAATTAGTTTCTCAGAATTGTCAGCAGTTGAAATTTCAACCTAAACCATATTAAGTGTCAATGTTTTAAAATATAAACGAATATGTGATTAATTATATGGTTTTGTTGTACTAGATGGAAGAGTAAGTGTTTTAAACTGTCTTCAAAGGACCTCTTTGCAATGACTCAGAGGCACTGTATTCCCACTGGGTTTTGTGTGAAATACTTAGTAGCTTAGTTCTGAACTGAGAGAAAAGAAAAATAATTACTTCTTTGTCTGCAGTGTATATTTTAAATATGCTTTGTGTTACTTCAAGATTAATAGAAAAATTCCAAAAGAAATTTCGAAGAATAATTTAAAAAAAACAAACGAAATATTTTTCTTTTTAATTTCTTTTTTAGCTGAGCTGCTGAGTTTTTTTAATTCTGAACCTTGATTTAGAGACCCAAAGAGAAGGAAACGTGTGAAGTCCTGCCCTGTAGCTCTGGACACTGAGTGCCAAATACATCATGGAAAACAAATTTTTCAGTTTTCTGCCACATTTTCAGTTTGCAGCCATTACCAGAAACCAAAAAACCCAGCTTTGCAACAATTTTTGATGTTCTGCTGCTTTGCAAAAAGTGCAGTGCTGGACTCCCAGGGCAGGAAAGCAAATAGAAAAGCAGAGTGTGTTCTCTGGAAATGTGAAGCCCCTGTCACTCTAGGGATGGGTATGTTTGGGGTGCCCTGGCAGTGCTCCTGGGCTCCTCCTGGCCTCTGTGGCTGGAATTCCTGAGCTGGGTTCCTCTGGCCCGTGGGACACACTGCAGCATGGGCTGGCAGCTTTCCACCCGTGGGTGCCTCTGGAGAGATGCTGTTCTGGAAGGCTGAAACTTGGGAAGGGTTGAGTGTGAAGAAAAGTCAATGGTTTAATTGTTCCAATCGGAATTTTATATTTGAAATGCAACTGTTTTAGGCTCAAATGTTCTGGCTATGGTCAGCTTCTTTTAAGTCAAGTCTTTCATAAGTTATATGCTACGAATTTGATGCTTGTTAGTAAATCTGGAGACAGCAAACCTTTATAGTTGCAAACTTTTGACAACTACTCTAGTAACTAGCTCGGGAAAACACTTTGTTTTGGTTTCTTACAGGGTTGATTCTTTTTCAGGGTGGGTCGTTTGTTTTGGGTAGGTTACAGTACAGAGAGATTCTTGTGTCAAAAGTAAAGTATTGCAAAGTTCAGAGTTTCCTCTGTTTTTGTTTGAGGAATAAATCAGACCCTCATAGCAGCCTCAATGATCTGTATTACTTGCTCTGTGTAAGTTTGGGCATCCGCCTTTCTATAAACTTCCACTTGCCTGTTGTGCTTCTGTTGTTTGTATTGGAGATGTCCTTAATTATAACCAGGCCTTCAGTAATTGCTCCTAAGTTCACAATGCCTGGAGCAGGACTTCTGTGACCATTACAGAACGTGTAATTTTAGCAGACAAGACAAAATGCTAGTGGGTGGTTAGTAATGCCATGAGAAGCTCAAGCCCATGTATCTTCTGGGTAAAAAAAAAAAACAAACAAATTCAAACCACTTTAGTTGCAGGAGTAGAAAGTGCTGTTTTGGGTAAAACTTGCAGCAAATCCCCTGGAAGAGTGTGTGGGAGGCAAAGCTTAGAATCTTACTGAAATTCTGACTCCTTCAGCTCAGTGGATGTGGAAAGGCCTTTTTTGCTTAAGCCTGTTGGTGTATGAGAGGTTGCTCCATCTTGACTGGTTGGTTGGTTGGCAAGTTTGTTTTGTAGCTAAAATTTAAACAAAATCACTTTGAAATAAGCAATCCAGCCTTTGAGTAAGCATGCCACATTACAAAAGAAAATGTCATTAAACGTGTCATTTACTTAAAATGCTTTATGTGCTTTCCTGTTATTAGTCCTTCACACAAGGAAAAAGCCAGATCTCTTGAGTTACAGTACAGCTCCTTTATAATTAACTGCCTGGATGTTTCTTCTCTTGACTCCTAAGTACACTGTAATAAAAAATTGATGCATGTGCTGCAGCAGGATTGCAAGAATAAGGTCATATCTCACTTGTTCCACATAACACATTGAGATGCAAACTTATCTCATGTTATCAACAGCATAATAAATGCAATTTCTAATTTACATCACAAGATGGCAGCAAATTTTAAATTCACTTAATTTTCATTAACCTAGATTAACCTAACCTCTTGAAATCATGGTTTCCTTACAAAATGATAGAAAACTGTTTAATGATCAGTTATGTGTTCTGTTTACAGGGATGTTAATGTTTCAGAAGAACTCAAAACATCTGCAGAACCATATTTCTGCCTTAAAATCAGTAAAGAAAGGCATTTATTATGAACTTTAAAGATCAGCAGCTCACTGTGTAAGAGTTACCAAGTCTCATTAAAGATATTTTGAATAAAATCTATAGCTTCTACCTATAGTTTTTGATTTATTGAAGAGGAAATATGACAAAGCATTTTTTTAAAATTCAGGTGGAGGCTTTCAAGACTTGATCATGTGGATTCTTTCCTCTACAAGAAATTCTGATTTATGTTTGAAGTGTGTTCAGTTAAAAGCTTTCAAAGTTATGAAATACCAGAGTTGGCTTGGCTCAACTCCTTTTGGCAGATCTTTCTCCTGTGCTGGCCAATCCCAGAAGTTAAAATTTTAATCTGCTTGACCTCATTTGTCCTAGGTGTTAATTGTCACTGCTTGTATATCTTACAGAAGATGCATCTACGGCCTTTAAAATGCTCTACTTTTTGTTCTGTTTGCAGTTTCACAACCACAGGCTGTACATAGCCAGCTGGAGAAGCCATCAAGTACAGCAATTCTCTGCAATACCTGTGGAAAACCATGCAAAGGAGAAGTTTTGAGAGTTCAGAGCAAATATTTCCATATTAAATGCTTTGTTTGCAAAGGTAAGTGTGACTGCTGCTTCTGTGGGTAAGGCATTAGCAATGGTGTGTGACTTAATGATCCTGGAAACTTCACGAGCATATTTTACAATCCAATCCATGTCTGAAAAGATTTACTGTGAAGTCTCTGACTCCTTGCAGTAAGATTATAAACATCTAAGTCTCAAAACTGGAGTTTGTTTTCAGTGGATATAAAGCTGCTTATATCCATGTTGGAGTTTACTATAGAGTTAGGATGCCAGGAAGAAGAGCAGTTTGGGAGAGCAATGCAGGACTAGGAGAGAATTAACATTTGCAAAGAAACGCAGAGATTCTCTCTCTTCCAGCTCTCTAATTCATGCCCTAGGCTGGGCCATGGCCACATCTGTTCAGGTTCTCGTGTGTTGGACTGATCTTTAAATTCAGGGTAACCCTCTGTGCTTTTCCATTCTTTGGGGGGAATGACTTGGTTTGCTCCAGGTTGGTGCCTGGTGATCTAATATTGTCACATGAATAACAGGAGGATGGTCATAGGAAAAGGGAATTATCTGACACAACACCCTTTCTTTAAACACTTGCTTATTTGAAAACCTGTCTGGAAGCTTACTCCATTATTAACGAGGGTTTCAAATGACATTTATTAATTCTTATAGCTCAGTCTATAAACATGAGCATGTCTCTGGCTCCAGATATGTTACTGGAACTATTTCTACTCCTCTTCAGAGGAAACACTAGAAAGAAAACGGTCACTATCTGTTAGTTATACTGATATTTTTAAAAATCCCATGGGATTAAATACATACTATCAACAACTGAGGCAATCTTTTATGAATTAGACAGGACTAAATGTTCAGCTCAATAATTGTGTTCTTTGCAAAATTGCACAGCAAGCAAGATAAGCATACTGCACTTTCTTACAAAGCAAAAATATTGTGGTCATTTATTCAGAAGAGATTAGTATTTTAAGCAGAAGACAGCTCATACATGCATCTTTTAAGTTCTTTTAAAGCCAACTGTTCTTACAGGAAATTTCACTATTAAATCAGTTTTTCAGACCGAACGCAGGAAAAGAGCAGCTGATCTGTTATTCAGGAATCTTGTCTCCTACATGAAGCCTCAGTAACCTTCTGGTATTTGCTTCATATTCTTATCTTTGTGAAAACCAAGCCCCCTTTATTTTTTACAGATTTGCTATGAGAAAAGACAAATCCTACAGAGGTATTAAGACAGAATCGTACATCCAAATTTAGGTTTTATAGGCCACCTCCATTTAGATGATGCCAGGTCACCAGAAAATGCAGCATGTGGTCACTAAACCGATTCATTGATCCCAAATTTAGGCAGTGCAGAGGGGTTTTTCTCACCCCCATGCAGAAGAAGATGAATGCACTGTAGAAGCTGCATTGCCCTTATCTGACTGTAAGAGATAAGGAGGAGTTTGTTCACTTCTGGCAGATCTTGAATAAAATGAGGAAAAACTCACAATGTTAAGGAGGTAGCAGGGTAGCATGTGTCAGCCACCTGTCAGTCTCTCAGCTGGCACAGGAGTGTCAGAGAGGTGTGGTTAAACTGCTGCTTGGTGCCAGGACTCTTGGATTCCTCCTTTCTAATAATTTTGCTAAGTGCTAAGTTTGCACACATGGTTGGTTTGAGGGTTTTCTCTCATTATTTAAATGCCATCATTTCTTTTATCATCTTTCAAGGGTTTCCATAAATTTTCTGGCATTCTTCTGATATATTGTTTTTTGTTTTGTTTCTGGGTCTTTTTTGTTACTTAAGAAGCATAAGTTGCTTTGTAATAAAGATTTGCCATGTTGTTACGTGAGAAGAGCTTTGGAACAGAACAGAGCACTGGATATACATGTCACTAGCTACATAAAAGGAGAAAAGTCAGGTTAAGCATATGTGACTTAGATTTTTTTAATTAATGGATGAAAGAATACAGGTCATGTGTTAGAATTTAGCCAAAAATGGTATTCAGTTCTGATCAGTCAATCTGCTTTCAGCCTTGGAGGAGAGTTTTGTGCCATGACCCCTGCTGTGCATGGGCAGAGTGATGATTCTGGGAATGTATTTTTCCTACTGTTGATTCCTCCCTGTGGTGTGTGTGTTTTGATGCTACTCAGCAATGCAGTTTGTCCTGTCTCACCTCATGCCCCAAAGATAGCATGTGGGAAGAGGCTGTGTCCAGCATCCAGTGCAGCTGCAGGACTGTCCAGGACAGATAATCCCATGTGTGGGCTGGCTGCATTGCCCTGCTAAGGTGCCTGGTTCACTGCCTCTGTGTTAAATCGTCTTGTAGCCTGCATCAGAAAACATTTAATATGTATAGAGCTGCAGGAAATTTTGGTCCCTCTCACAGAATTTATGACTGTACAATGATGGAAAATGCAAACTGACAGAGCCCATGGACAAGAATGAGAAATGACCATAGTGTGGTGTCTAGAGGTATTTGAGGTCTGTTTGAATGACCTCATCAGTGACAGATGATATTACACTGGAAAAAGTCACACCTTTTTAAATATGTGTGAAATTTTAAACTATTTCTTCGATAGTTTTGGATAAATTATGAGGGTCAAATACACTGAATTGTTTCCTCTTTTTTTGTAGAGTAGAAATGTAGTTTTGTGTATTGCCATACTGCTGTCTGATTATTCATAGAATGACTTGGGTTGGAAAGGACCTTAAAAATCACCTTGTTCCAACCCCCCTGCCATGAGGAAAGACACCTTCAACTAGACCACGTTTCTCAAAGCCCCATCCAGCCTTGGTCACTTCCAGGGGTGGGGCAGCCACATCTTCTCTGGGCAACCTTTCTTGTGGGGACTGTGAGCTTCAGAATGATAACAGCAACTGTATAGATGCCTTTTGTATTAAAATTAAATTACATAACCAAAGAAGGTGAGTGTAAAGTAACTAATTCCCATCCAGTTCTTCTTACATTCCCCAGATAATGATTCAAAACAATTCAAAGTTTTTAAAAGGTGAACAACTCATTTATTATTCAAGACTAAGAGACACAGCCAGATTAAAAGATTTTACAGCAGTACAGGGAACATCTGCTAGTTTTGCTTAGTATCAAAGTTCAATAGGACCTAGGGAGGTAAATAAGCATTATAAATAAGGTTTATACTGATATCTGTTTGTATGTGTTATTTCCTGTTTAGCTGCACATCTAATCTTGATAATAAAATTCTGTAGGGAACATCCCATCTAACCTCACTTCAAATTTTTACTTAAAATTAAGTTTAAAATAGAACCCATTTTAGTCAGGTTTTATAAAAGTACTGTTCTAATGAATGTGTTTGATATAGTAAGGCAAAGTTTCATTAGACTTCATGTGCTTTGATTCCCATGTTTGCTAATTATTTTTTTATTTGTTACCACTGTAATAAAAGCACCAAGGAAAATTAGTAAAGTGATAAAATATTAATGACTTTGACTGTCAAATTTTAAAAAAATTGTATTGAATATAAACTATTCTAAGGGTGTCTGTCAGGTCAGGACTGCATTTAATGGAGTGGGTGGTATTAGACAATATTAACTTGGAGCTTGTTTTCAACAGTGTGATTTAGTAGAGCCAGTAGAGACAGGTTAACATAGAAATGTAGACAGGAGAGATGTAGGTGCTGTTATCATATTATCTTGGGTACCCTCTTAGATCTTTGATAAGGATAGCTATTACCCTGTTTTATTAGTATTTGGCAAGTATTTAATTTTGATAGTATCCTGACATTTCCAAAGTGGCAGTGACCAGTTTAATTGGGAAAATCCATACCATCTTGCTAAAGAGTATTCTTTGTACATATGTGAGAGCTGTAACTCACATCTGTCTCCTTTCCTGGTTTGTCTTGATGAAAGGAAATAAACTTCCAGTCAGAGGCATAGAGGTAAAACATGACCCATGTGTTATACCTGCTTCATTGTGTCTCATTATCTTGGTTCACCCCTAATCAAAATTCTCCTGATTGCTGTCTTGCTATGAGTGCAGCACATGCAGTCTTCCCTGCTGGCACAGCTAGCAGTTGCAATTATACTTTCCCCCCAATTAATTTTCATGGTTTTTTAAAATTAATCTGCTAGAATTTATCACATCTTCATCTTAGAATGGGGGTATGTGCTTTTGGGGATTAGTGTTTCTGTGACCCTGCGGTCTCCTGGGAACTGGGAAAAAGCCCAGCTCTGGCTTTATATAGAAGATATATACCTTCTATATCTATAGGATATGCAACAGGACCTCGATTTATCATTTATCAGGAAGTCCTATTAATGGGAAGGGCTAAGACAAAATATTCAGTGAAAATATTTTTAAAAATGGAGTAATTTGGCGATAGGAGTTATTTTTTTGTTAGATCAAATGCATGTGCTAGGATATAAATATGTTCAAAGCTAGGCTGAGTGATCTGAGGGACTCACATTTGAACATAGCTATGAGGTTTCACGTTTCAAAATGGGAGTCATTTACGGGAAGCTCATTTGTAAGATTTCCGAGTCCCAGATTTTTGCCAGGCAGCAGCAATTTCTGGTATTTGTGGTGTCATGGGCACTGGGATTAGTGTAGGGACTCTGATTCATCAGGCACCCTCAGCAATGTGTCCAGCACTTCCTGAGTCCTTCAGGAGTTTGCAATCCCAGCTTGTATTAACTCAGTATAACAGGAAAAACTGTTTCCAGTGGAAATGCTCACCAAGGTTGCAGAGTGTGGTAGGTGTAGGGCTGCCTTACCAATGTCATGTTAGCCTGTAGTTTTTATTTCACTGAAATGATTATGATAATAATGAACACTTTTGCTGGTGCAAATCATTGAATTTAGCGGCAAATGGTTTTATGTTGTAGTTTTAAAACCTGAGCTTCAAAAATTTTAATCACTACTTTTCTAAGAGCAACTCAATAATTAAAGGACAAACAAATTTTGGTCAGTTAGTTAACTTAATCTATCACAAAGTAATGGATAATTTTCCTTTTCTTACAATTATTTTCTTGTTGCAACCTTTCTTTGCATTCATTAAGAACTTTCTGATGTC